CTAACGACTACAACATAGGAGAAAATCCTAGTGTAAAGAAACGTTATTTTTTTTATCGATGTTTAAGTTACAGTACAATAACATAAAATGACAAGCTCCCTGCCATAATACCACGAAAAACAATACACTAATAATACTTTTACAATTACTCGTACGGTCAGCTGCAAAGAAATGCGACCTCCCCTGAAGTACAAATATGTATGCAGCTATGTGCATAGGGGCATCCTTTTCTGTGCAGCTGAGTATACTATCATTTCTCCTCAGACCTAAAACACCAGCTAAAGCAACCACAGAATCAAAAACCTGAGAAACTCTTTTTGTCTTGAAAGGCCACCCACCCATCTGGACGTGTCGTGAAAATAACTAAAGCTTTAAATATAGCCATAAAAGATCAAAATAAGTCGTAAAACTGTGCAAGCCACGTTCGTGAGACGACAAAGGGTAGCGCGGGCGGCTGACTTAGATATAGAGGGATTTTATTTAAAGATAAACGTTCAAACTGAACAAATATTACAAAACAATTTTTTTTTGTAGATAGAAGAGCTTATCTTGATCCAGTGTCATCAGAAAGAGATAGATGAAAAAAGGCCCTAAAAAGAGATGCGTGAAACAGGCCTTATAAAGGGATTCGTCATTCCCGGCCGGGGTTTCGTGTAAAGCACAATAACGTAAGCGTAAACGGCCGAGCTTGGAGAAGGAGTTCGAATAGAATAGTTTAGTCAGTAAGAGTCTGACTCTCTCTAGCCCCAACCATGGCGGGAAGAATCATTCGATGATACCCCTCAAAATAGGGTGGATTAGCCATAACTCTAACGCTTGTAATTGAGTATAGCAGTAAGTTTGCTTAATTAGATTGAGGATGCTGGTCATCATAAACACCATTCAGCCCAGTCTTACCCACATCTTTTCTTCGTCACTCGAATCTATACTTGGGAATGAGCACCTAGCTTTACCGACGAACTGACTGTCAGACTTCTACTCTATTCTGGTGTTAAAAGTACCTGTTTATTGGTTTAGTTGGAATAAATGATTTCGAATTTACTTGACTATGTGCGTCTTTTTCTGTGTAGTCACATTCTCTCTCCATGAGACCTCGGATTAAAGTGGAAAATACTTTATAGTCAACAAAAAAGCTTTTACCTAAGTCGATATGACATTTTAAAGAGTATCGTGATGATAAATTGTAAACGATGTTATCAGATAAACTTATTAAGTTTATCTCTGTATATAGTCTGTAAACTACTTATCTGTCATAATAGACAGATAAGTAGTTTGTTAAAAAAAAATCACTAGATCTCTTGTTATTACAAATTTGGAACACAATAGTAATTATAGGTATGTATCATAAAAATGAACTTAATAGACAGGTGTTTAAGATTGAAAAGGGCTTGTTCTGACCAGACCTGGAGGCCTAATCCTTCCCCTCCCCCAATCCCTCCTCAATCCCTAAATCTCCAAATCCCTAATCCCTAAAAGGCAACTATCTAAAAGGTCGGCAACGCACTCGTAACTCCTCCGTTGCAGGTGTCCATGGGCGGCGCTGATTGCTTACCATCAGGTTATCCGTCTGCTCGTTTGCCGACCTAATACATAATAATAATAATTGTTCTGACGTTTAACTGACTGATACAAAATAAGAAAAGTTATAATAAGAAAATTTTTCCTTAGCAGTAGGTTAGAAATGCACATGCCCGACCTGTTTCTATGAATGCTTTTGGTATTTTTTATTTAAACCGACGTGTCTCTGATGGTGTGCAATTAGCACCGGCTAAAGCCATCCATATCCATAGATGTAACAAGTGCGACATTTTTGGAGGTTTGGGTTAGGGATTGTATTAGATTTGAGAGACTGGGGATAGGGGGTAGATTGGCTACCCGGGATAATCGTTCAACACGCGATTGCCAATCTTCTGTGAGGCTTTTTTTTTGTCAGGGGAAAAACATCCAATGACTTCTCCCGCCCAGGGTAAGGCGAGAGAGAGTGTCAGACTGACTAAAAACCCCCTGTTCCATCTCCTGCTTAGGGCCGAGGTCGCGGTGCCTAGTCTTCTGTGAGGCTATGGTATTATTCCGGTCAATTCGACCAATTTGTGCCAAAGACTAGCTCTCTCAAACTACTCAATTCTATACAAACTTCAGCTAGCAGTGACAACATCAAAAATGAAACTACTCAGCTGTAGCGATAATATCACTCTCAAATATAATAATGATTATAGTTAAGTCGGGCATGCAAATAAGAAAGATCGTCAATAGATAAATAATTCGTTTGAATTAGTATGCTGCGCAGGCGCCATGTCAAATTGAACATGGCGCGGCTGTAATCCTTGATTAGGAGAGGTATAAAGGAGGCTATAGTGTTGCCTTTTACATTAATAAATTTAATTTGTTTTAATCTCTTAATCATCATCACCGGCTTATGAGTACTGTTGAGCAAAGGCCTCTTCTCACGCGAAGAATAATGGGCATAAATCACCACGCTTGTTCAAAGCGTATTGGCGGTTTCTATTTAGTCTTTATTTTTCTTTTAGAAAAATGTTGCCCCACACTAAGATTTTCACCTGTGTCGTGGGTTCGTTAACAAACATAATTTCACATACAGCCCGGAACACCAATTTGGGGATCACACTAAGAGTTGTTTAGTGTGAGAATCGAACGCGCCAACGCCACCGCGACTACCGTGCAGTCGTTATTAGAAATAACATAAGTCTACATATTATCACGATGTTTTACTTTACAATATGTCTGTGGTATCTAAATAAACTTAGTAAGGACTTATAGGTCTAGAAAAAAGTCTCAATGGAACTCGCCTGGCTTCAAATTGAGACTAACAGAATTATTTCTTTGTCTTCATAAAATTATTAGCCACATACATAAAGGTCGCATTGTTACTATCAACTACGCAAATCTTTTACACATTGTCAATATGACAATACAATACTATTGCATCATAAAATATTTATTAATGAAATACATCGTAAAGAGTTCGTCATGATAATAAAGCGAGGCGGTTCTAGACAAGGCACGAAATAGAGGTCGTAGACGGGAGTGATGCTACGGTTTCACAGAAATGCGGCGTGAAACAACTCCGACGAGTTCTACCCTTTCACAGTACAAAAAATGGGCAACAAAGACTCCAATTTACTATATACTTCATAATAATATTATGTAGGTATAATTCATATTATTATTTATATTTCATCGTTTCCCCTATCGTGGCAATGCACTTGCAACTACTCTAGTGGTGCGGGTGTCAATGGGAGGCGCCAATAGCTCAATATCAGGTATTACGCCTGAGAGTTTACCGCCACATCACATAAAAAAATAACAAAATAACTTGACCCGAAATTCATAAGTAAAAAATCGATTGTTTTCACTACGGTGGCGTCCATAATACGCAGTTTCATAACGCCTAGAATAAATATCCGAGCAATATACACAAGTTTATTGATGTTTTTGCTTTAAATAATTTGAAGGCGCTTCAAATTTAATTTCTTTCCGGCTTCAAAAAAAGGATAAGGTAACTCATTTCGACCGTATATTATCGACATAAAAAAAGGATGTGGTTACTCATTTCGACCGATATTGGGCCTTGTAACAGTTCAATTATAGAGGATTTAAGAATAAGAATTTGAAGGTATTTATGTAGGTATAAACATACTAAATTATGCGCTTGTTCGTATGTTGTCCATTACAATGGTGGATACACTTAAAAAGAAAAATAAATAAAAGTTGAATTCGGAGTCGTTCGCTGCGATCACAACTCTAATAGTTGTGATCGCAGCGAATAACGATTGTGAATCCCGGTGTGGCCCGAAACTAATCGAGCCTCCCCGATTTATTAACGAAAGCGTAATTTTTGTGTATATTGTGTACCTATGTATTAAGACGTCAATGATGCAACTTCACCGTTTACTTACAAATTCAAAACGCACCGAACCGCCTTAGAAATAAATAATTTTGAAAATTATCCCAAAACCATTTTTGTTAAAAACACGCACCGTACACCCGAACACCATTGTACCAATCATAAGAAAGTGAGTAGGTAGATTAGTGGGAAAAGCTAAAATTGTTAGTTATATTAAGAATGCTTTTTTAATTAATTTTAATATGGTTAAATAGGGGATTCAATGGAGTAATAGGATTAAAAGTATAGGACTGCTTTGGCGAGCTTTAGAACGTGGAACAAATTATTAATTTTTTTAAAGTCAAGAGACAAAGTCTTCTTCTTATACGGAGAAGACTTGAGCATTGACACAACTTGAGCGTTGAGCACCACGCTTGCTCAAAGCGGATTCGCGATTCCGAACTTATAATATTAGAAATGATAAGTCCAAGGTTCCTTACGATGTATTGTCGTTTGTGAGCGGTGTCTAAATTAACTTAAAAAGTACACAATACTTGGAAAAAGTAACATTAGTATTTGCCAGGTTTCGAAACCTCTATACTACCAAAATAGTCAAAAACTAAAAGACTTAATTATTTTGGGTTTTATTATCTACACACAAGAATTAAAAATGCATCTGAATTAGTTTCACTCAAAACTAATATGCATTTAATAGCTACCAAAGCAGTCCATATAGCAAAAAGGATAGTTAAAAACAAAATTTACATTAATAAAATAACAAAACTTACCTTGCTATTCAAATATCATTTTAAAAATCATTACTATACATATTATATTCAATTATCTTCTTGATAAAATTTATCATAAAAAGAAAAACCTGTATTCGAAATTCAAACATCGAAAAAGGAACAAACAAAAAAAAAAACAAAAAATACAAGCACAATTTTTGAGTATATACTCAAATGTCACATAATTCTAATTCAATTTTAGAACAATAGCCAGCAGATCAACTTATCACTTGGTGAATTTTTTGTCAATAAATTATCAACTTTGACACAGAAGAAATAAAGTTGAAAATGTAATAATGAAAAGAGTAGCTTGACCTGCGTGTATACATTTTGTGAACTGTTATTATTCTTACTTGCTATGTACTTACCAATTCTGCTACTATCTGCTTGCCTAGTCTCTGGCACTCGTTCACTGAAGATTTTGTGAATGTGTTCGAATCCACCTGTTTGTTGGTCTGTGAATAGAAAAAGAATTTGATTTATACTATCACTACATACGTGTGGGCAAAGCATACTTCGGCACGACCGGAGTGATACCACGACCTCACAGAAAACCGGCGTGATGCTGTGAGGGTGAGGTTACCGGAGGCCCAACCCTCAATTCCTCAATGGAACTTAGTGGAACTCTAATAACTCGTTCTGTGCGGGAATCGAACCTGCGACATTGCCCTGCTAGCTAAGACACCAGAGAAAAGGGTGACACCCAAGACATACGAAAGCACTAATGCAAAGTCACCAAATATGAAAACAGCACAAAAAAGATATTGACTACAAGAAATAATTAATACATATTCGACCTTCAGCTTATTTAAATATATATTCTTATATTGATATGCATTTACATTGAAATGAAATCTATAATAATATTATAAAGAGGTAAAATTTAAAAGTTTGTAAGTTTGTATATAGGGGGGTAATTTTTGGAACCGCTGGTCGGATTGTCAAATTTCTTTCACTAATAGCTACAAAAAAATCACGCTATGGTGCTTAGCAGCGGGTGAAACCACGCGAGAGTAGCAGCTAATTTGCAGCTAACCTGTTTAGCCTTACTAGCAGTATCTAGCACTTTGTTGATATCCTGGAATGAGTGTATCGAGACATCCACCGTGGATGCATCCAAGGTCTCCTGCTTCTCTGTCTTCTTGTCCTTCTTGTTCTTAGCTTCTGGTTTGATTGTTGCCTTCTTCGCTGGTTCTGGCGGCTGGAATTTGAGAAAAATGGTTTTATTTCAAATATAATGTGGTTAATTAAGATTTGTTTCTGGCAGGAATGGAAAATGTCTCCAAGATTGCTTAATTTTTAAACACTGGTGTGTAAAAGTGTAGTGGTATTAGTATGTATCAGAATAAAATGTTTTCAATGTAACAATTCAAATATTTAAGTGTTGGAGAGCCATGCTTCGTCACTATGGCCCGGCGCGATTTTAGTAATATTTCGGTCGCCAAGAAAACCGGCGTCAAACAAAGTTTCTGTTATGTATTGCCCGTAACGAGCTTGAAACTCCTTGGTGTTAAAGGTGTCCATGGGCGGCACTGATAGCTCATTCAGGTGACCAATCTATTGTTAATTCAATGACTGTACGGTTAGCGCAGTGGCTGGGCTACTGGCTGCCGCGTAACGTGTTGCGGGTCGGATTCCCGTACGGAACAACTCTGTACGATCTACAAATTGTTGTTCCGGTTCCGGGTTGATGTGTATGTGAATTATATGATTGTTGAGATATGTGAAAATCCAGTGTTAGGCAAAAAAATATTATCAAGCTATGTCCACTGTTGATTAACCTATGCACCGCATGCGACCTATGCACTGGATGGGTCATAATACCTTTTTTTTAAACATACAATTTCACATACACATGACACCCAGACCCGGAACAACAATTTGTGGATCTCACAAAGAGTTGTTCCGTGCGGGAATCGAACCCGCGACACGTTGCACGGCAGCCAGTTGCCCAGCAACCGCACCAACCGTGCAGTCAGATACCGGATCTCAGTTGACCTTTAGAACAGCGTCTTAGAAGATGATGAAGTTATATTAATAATCACAGTCATACAGTCTGGTCTGTTAAAAGGTAAGTGTGACTCAGTTAAACCACAGTTACCAGTGGCCAGAATACAAAGTGACCTTTGGTAGTAAGTGTAAGAACAAAAATAAAACTGATTGACATTACCTACGTATTATTTTTAATTAAAGCAATGATCAGGATATCTTTGTTCATATTGTACTAGAGAGCTTAATTCGCGTGGTTTGGTAATAAAAAGCAGCCTATGTGTTAATCCAGGGTATCACCTATTCACCTAGCAAATTTAAACAAAACGGTCCAGCCGTTTTTGCGTGTATGAATAGCAAGCCCCATACATTCTCAAACACTTTCACATCTATTATATTAATAGGATTTTAAAATGAGATAGATAGAATCCCCCTTATTACAAAACAAGATTTATCTTTACTCCAGGTTTAAACCATTGAGTCGGCTTTTGAATTTTGAATCTTATTGTCATCTACCTTCAATTCGAAATACAAAAACTGGCTCAATGGTTTAGTCCTAGACTAAATTAAAATATGTTTCGTAATAAGGCTGAATGAGTTTAGTTTCTGTATTTAGTTTTCTTCATATTTAGGTAACTTCATACATCTTGAAACATTTTTCACACAATATAGGCACTAAGCTAAGTAAAAATAAAATATTTCGACATTTCAATACAATAAAATATTATAAAAAGATACACTTTTCGCGTTCGTAGATTTTACAATATACTTATCCGTCTGAAGAGTTTGTTTGTTTGAACGCGCTAATCTGCTGAACTATGGTAGGAATTGAATAATTATGTATGTGTTTGTTAATACATTTAACGAGGCTTTAGGCTATAAAACATCACGCTACGATTTGTAGGAGCCGAGCAGCGAGTGAAACCGCGCGACAGAAGCGTGCTATTCATAATTATGTAGTAAATTTTCAAAAGTGTTTTTGTCAGCGTGTAAAATCAAGTTGGCAAGGCCCAATGGGCCCCATCTGTGGTGTTTGGTTTTCAAGTTGTATGTTGGGGTTTTCTATGCTTTTTTTATTAATTATAAAATAAGGTTCAATACTCACAATATGATGTGTCAAGTCATCTTCCCAGTTATTGATCTGGTCTGCTAGGGCAGCCAGTCTACCAAACTTCTTCTTGCCATCCTGAGGACGAGGCTTCTGCTGCTTCTGCTGTTCAGGTTCCGGTGGAGTTGCTGATGAGAACTCCAACTCCGTGCGGTGGATGGGTGATGAGAGTGTTGGTTTATCTGGAAATGTAATAAACATTGATTGAGAGTTGCGTATTTTTGCGTCAGGTCAGCAAACAAGTGTGTGAGAGGCAAGCTTCGGCACGAAAGGGTCGGCTCGACCGGAGTGATACCACGGCCTCACAGAATACCGGCGTGAAACAACCACTGCGTTGTGTTTCGCCGTGTGAGTGAGGTTACCGGAGGCCCAATCCCGCCCCTTCACCTATCTCTTCCCGATCCTTATATCCGCAACCCCTATCTCCAAAAGGCCGGTAACGCACTCGTAACTCCTTTGGTGTTGCGGGTGTCCATGGGCGGCGCCGATTGCTTACCATCAGGGAAACGGTTTGCTCGTTTGCTGACTTATACCAAAGGACTCGTAATACCAAAGGAGGAAACTAAAAGTGCGTTGCCGACCACTTGCGGGTTATTAGGGATTTAAGGATTGGGGATTTAAGAATGGAGTCCCTCACTCACACAGCAAAACACAATGTCAATGTTGTTTCGTAGAACACATAGAACATAGTATCACAGCGGTAGAGCTCATTCCTGTTGAAGCTTGGCTGTCACGCTTTTTATGCTTAAAAGTTTGCTGGGGTACCAAACTGCAGTAATAAACTCTGTTGTGTGGTGCACAGCCACTGCACCAACAGTACGAGTTAAGTGTCTTATCAGAGAATAACAGCCTTTGTTATCAGTATCCTGTCATTTTAGAGGAATTTTAGGGAGTAATTTAGGAGCTTATCAATCCAGGTTATTGTAGAAATGAAAATATAAGTCAGATAAAATTTTAACTAAATTAGTGTGGTATTGACATAAAACTTCTGTTAAGATGTGTACTATTAAAACAAAATAAGATTCTAGATAGTCTTTTGCCCGTTGTAATGACAATTAACTCATCAAAGTCCAAGTGAACACTGCAGTTCGTGCAACTATTGTTCTTCTATTGGGTCTTGAATTACCATGATTAAAAGGTTGAACTAGCAATGCACCTACCTGAATATAAATTGCCAAGCCTGTCAAGCCTGGACTTAACATTTTGCCTGAGTCCACCCCTCTGAGTCTTGTTCTCCGAAGCATCTTCAATAGCCTTCTCTGAGTTATTAGATGAACCATCTGCAAATGCATATAATTATTTTGAGTAATTTAAATTAAAGACACTTTTTAAAACCTTAACTCGGAAGAATAATAAAAATATGTGTAAGTAATTATTTTCACAGAATTCATATATACTGTAGTATATGTTGATATAATTTTTATGAGTATATTCTTTTTACAAGACACTTAAAACAATATTGTCAATATAATTAAAAAAACATTACCCATCATAGAAACACAATTCCAAATTCAAAATGTTAAACACAACACTATCCATAGACCACACAGCAAATATTTATAATTTAAAATAATTTGAAACAACTTTAACTTAATACTGTTTACATTAAAACTAATGTTTTGTTATTATAATAACAAGAAACATTAACCAATTATTAGAACCATTATCATCCAGAGGTGACTAATGAGTAATAAGCAAGAAGGTTTAAACTTGTAAGGATAAAGATTTAAAGAAAATAAGTGTCATTGGCTTTGGTTAGTCATAGTGGTTCCTTATTTAGATAAATACCTTCACGCTTGGAGCCTATGTGGTGAAGAAAATGAAGGGACAATAGCATATTTTTTTTATTACTACAACATCCATTGTTTTTTATTTTTAAATACTGTATATTTCTTATATCTCTGATGGGAAAGGGAAACCCAGTTATGATTCAACTTGGTATGAACTTTAAAAGAGATTCTGCGATTATTTCAGTATTTTTTCTCAGGATATTCTCACATAGAAAATATTGGTCAAAAAGATTTGTTCTTTTATAATTTATGTAAAATTGCTTTGGATGAAGTAACATGTGGACTAACTAGAAACGAATTAAACTGTGTACTTTAAGATAGGATTAAGTCATACATAAGCACCAATTTTCAAGTACAAACCTTAACAGATTTATTAATTTAGTAATTAAGTAAATGTTAAATTAAGTTGATGTCCTTCAAGTCATACAGGATACAATACATGTGGACTGTGGTTTTGTAAATGTAAATAAATTAAATCCTCCTTACCTGTGATCTCCTTAATGATAACATTGCTTCCAGGGTTTGCCTGTGAGTCATACACGACGCTAATCGGAGCATCCCTCTCCTCAACTTGGACCTCAATTTGAATGTCATTTCTATGGGAAATGTTTATCTCCACTGATACATCAGAGTTCCGTCTGTTAATACTTCCCCTTTTTGGACTTTTAAACTCCTTCTTGGTGACCACAATGTCGTTGCGACCTCGCTGCGGCGACGCTACGTCAGACTTCAAACTCGATCTCTTAACAACTGCTTTTGTTGGAGTTTCAGCCTTAGAACCATCTTTAGACTGTCTCCGGGGCGACGTAATTGAGTCCCGAGCTATTTTATTAGGAGATTTCACGGGAGAGTTCTCAGATTTAAGAACAGTAATGTTTTCTGCTAAAGGTCTCCTTTTCGGAACTGCCTGTCCGTTACTCGCAAGTTTTTGGTCAATCTTCTCTTGTCTGGCCCGCGCCCTCTCTAACATACGCTGGAAATAAGTTTAATTAATTAAAACACGATGCTCTTGTTGACCTTTTGCAGATAGCGACCGTTAACACATAAATTATGACCCAGCCGTACCTGAGTAAAGGGATCCATTATTGTAACGATATAAAAATAACACAAATGTCACCAATTACACAGTTAGCATAGTTTATATGCACTTTATACAATAATTACAGTTTCACAATAGTATTTTCGCAAAATTAAACAAGAAAACAATCTGGATCCACAAACATTCGTGTGTTCGTTATTGGTTTGACGTTTGAAGTTTTGAACCGAAATATTTGAATATAGTTTGCTGTTGATCCGGTAGGCGTCAGGATACTTTTCGTTCTGAAATACGTGTCAGAAGTGAGACTTTGAAAATATTTATATATATTTGAATAATTAAATCAAATATATAACTTTTTATTGGTGTAAAGTGATGATTGACCATCATGCATTTTATTTCACGTAGTATTTTTAGAGAATATTTTCTCAAAACGTTTACTATTTGTATAGTCGTTCTCAAAAGTAGCGCCACCTATTAACAAAACAACAGACTAATGTTGTAAATGTTGTGATTATGCCATAGCAGATGGCGCAACACGTCGAGAAACTTTTATTAAACTATCTTTCAAAAGAATTATACTTTTATTTAGTAAAATTATCGTCCCATTTGATTTTCATATTTCAATATTTTTAATTATTAAATTTAACGTATTTAATTTTTACGGAACTTATCTTGGTTGCTCATAAACGCATTGTAATTACCATTGCTGTCCCATGCTTTAATTTAATACTAACATCAGGTATTGCATTGCAGTATTGTATTATCCGGTCTTCCCACAAGAAAGGATACATTGATAAGAAACAACTTCCACAAGCCATAATTTGTTTAAAACCAGATTTGTTCTGTGTTTTGTTAGACTAGGTACAATACAAAAAGACTGGGAATGAACCGGTTGATAGCGCACTCAACGTTTCAAACCAGTTGCTATCCAGCGTTTTATTGTTATGAGCAATTATTATTGGTTATGTTAGGGGGCATTTAAAGACTATCTAGCGGTTTTGATTGAGATAAGGACAGTATCAGAATCAGAATCTTCAGAATCTAGTTATGATATGGATCTCTATTTTGAGGAGCAGGTAGTCCCAAATGAAAGTCCATGTTACTCGGACATTTTCAATAATCTCCAAAAATACATACCTACCTAAGTGTGTGCGTGACTTCGTGCTCTCATGCACTTTTTTCCTTGTTTTTTCTTTACTGTACTATTACCTACTTATGTTTATTCTTTAGTCTTTGTATTACCTACCTATTTAGGTATATTTACAAATGAGCCTTATGCGAATTCTTATTAGTAAATTTGCACGAAATATTTTTTTATAAATTTGTCTGTTTGTGAAAACCGGCGTGGTCGTTTCACGCCTGTTTTCTGTTGTAGGTACTTTATTTTCACAGTAGGTCACATACGATAACATCATGATCCTACCGCATTATCTACTCAATGTTTATTTATGCTGAGTGCATAGAGGGCAGTCTTCTCAACTCTGAGTCAGACGCAAGTAGATTAAATAAATTGGTTTACGAAAATTTCCAGATAGATATAAATAACTATAAATATTTAGATATTAAATCCATTGTCTATCTATTAGGTACTTATATTTTTTTTTTTTTTTTGAGGAAAATCATCATTCTTTTTAGGTAATTCTCCCGCCCTGAGTCAATTCTTACTAAACTCAAACTCAAATCAACCATTTCCTTCTTCTGCTCCGGATTGAGGCCACTTCACATTATTGAGCTGAACATTGGCCTAAGTAAGCCCCACCTGGGGTGCTCCCGGTGGCTCTGATCGGCGGCTGAGGCATGAAAAGTCTGGTTCCTTTACGCGCTTTACCTCCATTTTTGCGTAGCCGGGGTTGCAGGGTAAGCGCAATGAGGCACCACGACCTCGGCCCAGAGCAGGAGAAGGAACAGGGGGTTTTTAGTCAGTAAGTGTCTGACGGAGAAGTCACTTGATGATTTTCCCCTCACAAAAAAACCTCCATCTTTGCGAGCATCACTCTGCATCACGGTTTCGCAGGGAGACGGTTTCCTATATCCTATCGCTCCGCTCCAAGGCCTTGACTAAGGCCGGTCGCAAGAGGTTGCCGTCGCCGAGTACAGTTGCACTCGAAACATATAGAGATGAAGTCATATCAGATTATAGAACAATTTATTAATGTAAACTCATGAAGTAAATATGTATATTTAGGTACTTCATGTGTAAACTGCAAAGTCACCGACTTTTTTAATTTAATTGTTTATGTGGTGCACTACTCATGAACACACTAGAAGAGTTCCTAATGTGTTGCGGCCTTTTGGGGATAACATTTTTTGGGGATTGGGGTTTGGGGCTTTAAAGAATTGGTCTTCCGTTAATCTCACTCACACGGCGAAACACAACGCTGTGTTTTTTTCGTGCCAGTTTTCTGTGAGGCCGTCGTACCACTCTAGTTGAGACGGTCCATTTCTGCCAAAGCACGGCTCTCCTATACTTCATTTCTTTACACTACATACGCCATATGCATTTATAAATCTTCTCATACCTAGGTACCTACCTATATAATCCGTTTAGGTATCCCACGCTTATACACTTGACCTACGACCTTGACATCCCCCACAAATTACATTTAGTTATCGTAAATCATATTTGCATCAAACATTTGATGAACAAAACCAACATTTTTGCCCATCCATTGCCGCTTATATACGCACGTATGCTATCAGAATTTTAACGAGGCAAGCCATGTATGTAATTTATTGGTGTTGGACGGCCAATACGCCAGAGACGTAATTGAATTATAAGGTTGAGAAATAGCATTAAGAAACCAGTTTGTTACAAACATTTGTTGAGAGTGCACGCTTTGAGTGTTGTTTTTTATCGAGAAAATAATGGGTAAGTTCCTTTGTAATGGAGAAATCTTATACTTAAACCTAAGTTGTTAGAATTCGGTCTTTATTTAGTTTCAGTTTAAATCGAATTTTGTAAAAATAGTGGAGAGTTTGTTATGAGTTGGTTGTATACGGTTTTATTTATTTGGAAGTTACGAAATATTCTCTAGCTAATGGATTTTCAATTTATTAAGTCTTGTTCTGGAGGTTTTTTTTGTTTATGTGCAGATACCTAAATTGTAAGTCCAGTTAGAGAGTTCATTTTAAAAAACACTGTTAAAAAAATATACGTACAAAATAAAGGGTAAGTATGTTTGTTTACTTGCTTGAAAGCGTTAATCTCCGGAACTACGGGTTAGAAATCGAACAATTATTTTTGCGTTGGATAGTCGACGAAGGCTATATTAAAGATGTAAGTAAAACATCACGCTACTATGGACTAATAGGAGCAACGGATGAAACGAAACGGGAGTATCTTATTTTAGATAATAATTAAAAATCAAAGATCAAACCCAGTTCGCCAGTACTTGATCAAATTCTCTTATTTAGGTATAGAATTCATCAAAAAACCAAGTCTCAAACCTGGCATATAATTTAACTATTTAGTTGTTCCTTTGTGTGTAACCTGTAAGACTACTTTTATTATTATACTAGCTACTCTCACGCGGTTTCACTCGCTGCTCGACTCCATTTAATCGTAGAGTGATGTTTTGTTAGAATTTTGGGAATCCGACCAGCGGTTTCAAAGATTACCCCCTACATACAAACTTACAAAATTTTACCTCTTTATAATATAAGTATAGATGTATTCGTTAACATTCTTAAACTTCCTAACCTTCGTCTTACTTACGCCCGGTTCCTATAATTGAAAAACGATCCGTTTTAATTACGAATAGTAGTTTTATATACAAATCGTAAGCTAAAACCGTTCCTATAATAAACGTCTCGTCGTGCAACTTACTGACGGTTTGCAACTAACGGATATCGGTAAGCGAATTGTATGGAGATCTATGATGTCTGTGGTTTTGCTATAAATATTTTAACCGTCAGTAGACGGTCAAGATAACTATTCGTAATGTTATTTGATCGTAATGCGTATACAATGACGATTCGTTAAATATAGGAACCGGGCATTAGACTACACGATTCAGGATTGCGGGTAAAGCGCAATAAGGTACAGGGGCCTCGGACTGGAGCAGAAGAAAGTATGGGATGGATTTTAGTCAGTAAGAGTCTGAAACTCTCTCTCGTCTCTCTCTGGGCGAGTGAAGTGATTTGATGATTTTCACCGACTGAAATCTGACTCTCCGTCCCCACCCACGGCGGCGTAATTTTCCTCACTACAAAAACAGTTTTTGTGCATGCAATGCAATGCTTGTTTAAGCAATCTAATGCAAGGTTTAACCCCAGAAATTCTACATATGTGTGATCAACAAATTGTTGTTCCGGATCTAGGTATTAAGTTCATATTAAATTGTATGTTTGTAAACGCATAAATGACCCAGGAGAAATATTGGTGTAAATCATTGTCCACGTTTAAAAAAAACGTCCGAAAAACGACTTAAACAATTCTGTAGCCTTCGCTTCATTGGTGATTGTTTGTCTACTTAAAAACATTCATATCATGAATATTAATGATTTAACAAACAAAACACTCTTAGAAAATCAGTAAATATATGTACTTACTCGTACTTAACTATGTAAATAAGATTATTTACGAGAATTAACAGAAATATGAGTTCACTGTTGATCTATGAGGCTCTTCTTCATGAGAAGGGGTTATTGCCATTGTATGGGAGAAATGAAAGATGTTATAGATGAATACAGATTGGCATTTATTAAAAGAGTGAATTTAAGTGTGGGAGAGCCAAGCTTCGGCACGAATGGGTCCGCTCGACCGGAGTGATACCACGGCCTCACAGAAAACCGGCGTGTAACAACCACAATGTTGTGTTTCACCGTGTGAGTGAGGTTAACGGAGGTCCAATCCTTCCCCTCCCACAATCTCTCTTCAATCCCTAAATCTCCAAATTCCTAATCCCTAAATGGTCGGAAACGCACTCGTAACTCCTCCGTTGCGGGTGTCCGTCCATGGGCGGCGCTGATTGCTTACCATCAGGTAATCCATCTGCTCGTTTACCGACCTAATAAATAAAAAAGGGCACTTGATTATATACGATTTCAAGTCTCATAAGTGTAGTACCTATAGTAATAGTATAGTAACACATGGGTGCTTCATACAGTATATACAGTTATAATAGTATTTTTACGCATGGCAAGAAATTTGGAGACCACTAATAAAAAGGTTCAGGTTTACCAGATAGCTCTGCACCTTTTTCTACCTTTAATGCCGTCATTTACAGTCGAAATTAAATTGTTCTTAATCTGAAAATCTGTCATAAATGGATCAATCTCGAGTTTTGACAGTACCTAATATTTTTTTTTTTCAAATCGAATGGTGGCCAGGAATTTCACGCTCCTGTCTCTCATGCATGAGGGCGCGGGTGAACCTAGCAAATACCAATGTGAGTTTTATGTGTTTTTTTGTGAGGGGAAAATCAATCATCACCCCCCCGTTCCTTTGCCTGGTCTAGGCCGAGGCCACGGTGCCCATTGCGCTTACCCCGCAACCCCGGCTTTTGCGCTAGACAAGCTATCGCTCTAAACGTTGCTGTTTTAAAAATGCCGAGATACATTAGGCTTTTATACGCGAGCGAATATAAAATACTTACTTACTGTCAGTGTAAAAGCGCCAAAGTCTCGTTGTTTGCCATTCTGTTTGTTATTCTTCTTGGGTTTCATTGAAGTCGTTAACTGTTCATATAGCGACATGCTCATTACAACCATTATACGACTGTACCTACACTTCACATAAAACAATTGTCAAAATAACCACAGATAAAAAGAAAAAAAAAACAAAAAAAAAATTTCAAACGTTTTTTTCACACAACTACCGACCAAAGAAATGCTCTTGATTTTAAAAAAGGAATGATTCTATCTTCAAAAATAAAAAAAAATTGCACCGTATCTATAATTATGACGTTCGTCATAGACCCCTGAGCGATCTGAACAAATATGAGAAAAGTAAAGAATTTCCTACAAAAGGCTATTGTTTCCTCACAATACCTGTAGCTGGGTACAGCCTAAATGATCTGTTTACTTAAACTATGCTCATAAACATAAAACAGTGCCGTAAGGTACAATGGGTTAGTTTACAAGTCCAGAAGTTATCTAGAAATAGCGGTAATGTGGGAGAGCCACACTTCGGCATGAATGGGTAATCTCGATCACAGAATACGGTAGTTTCCAACTAGACAAATAACTAGATACTTTTTTATGAAATTTGTATGAAAAACTGGGTTATGATGTCATAGTATTTCCGCGTCAAACAGTTTACTTATTTCTTAGACATCTTTATTCTATATCTTCTCTTATATATAAAAATGGATCGCAAAATGTGTTGTAAGCGCATAACTCAATAACGCCTGGACCAATTTGGCCAATTCTTTTTTTAAGATGTTCGTTGAAGTCCAAGGATGGTTCTTACGGCGAGAAAAAATCGAATAATTGCCGGGAAAACCCTAAAAACAGTCCTTTTCTTTTTCACATACAAACGTTTTCTAACTAAAACGTCGAATCAATTTGAGCTTTATTGCTGTTCATATTAAATAACAAGCACTCACTGTTATCTAAGAAATAAATGAAAGAAGAAAAGGTGTGTTCCTAACGTCAAAAAGTAAATTTGCACTTTCTTACCACTAAACAAAGTTCAAATTCAATCATATCTATCAAAACAGTGTGCGCGTGTGCTTTGGAGCTGGAGCACAGAATTCGTCGTTTGAGGATTAACAAGTCGGGTTCCGAAAACAAAAAAAAAATCCGATTTGAATGATTCTTTCAGTGTTATGTAGTCCATTTATCGAGGAAGGTATATTTTATTTAATTCAAAATTAGGGATCTGTAATAAAATTGCTATTTTGTAACACAAGGAGTAAAATCGAAAACCTATTTTTGCGTGCGCTGCAATAACTATTGACCATAGAACAAAATGATGTACTACGGGTTTGTAGATTCTATTAAAACCTACAAAAAGTCCGCGAGAGCATATATCTAGCTATCATGGTTTAATCACAATACCCGATTTTGTGTTCAAAATAATTATTAAATCGTCTGAAAGAAAAAAAGCGTTAAATATGTATCGTAATATTATTCTTTATCGGAATTAAGCATTATGTTATCAAGAGTATTTATTTATAACCTAACTGTCATGTTTGCTGGGGATTTTCGGCAAACTTTACCAGTAGTAGTAAGAGGAACTAAAGTAGACATTGTAAAAAATTGCCTTAAAAGTTCTCTAATGGAAGTTCATACCTTAAAACTATCTACAGACATGAGAGCATATTTGGGAGGAGGTAGTACAAATTTTCCTTTGAAGTTACTTTTAGTTGGAGACGGAAAAGTACCTTATTTTGAAAATAAAATACCTATTGATCAAGATTTAGGAGAAAAAAGACTGGCATTGAGAGTTTAATATCAAAAGATATCGTCGAAATAGAAAATAAAGATTATCAATGGAAGTATGCACAGTCGGTGCGGTGGCTGGGCAACTGGCTGCCGTGCAACGTGTCGCGGGTTCGATTCCCGCACGGAACAACACTTTGTGTGATCCACAAATTGTTGTTTCGGGTCTGGGTGTCATGTGTATGTGACATTGTATGTTTGTAAACGCACCCACAACACAGGAGAGAATCCTAAAGTGTGTACAGTAGAGTAAAGTCTAAACAGTAGTGTTGACAAAATTAACGATTTAATTTTAACTAAACTTCCAATGGATCAAGAATATGCAGTCCATTATCTACAGGGATGTTTTCATTCTTTAAACCCGAGGGGCATCCCATCACATTCTCCCAAGTTAAAAATTGGTGCCCCATTATTTTACTTAGAAATTTATATAACGGGAGACTTTAGGTTAAATTTGTTCGCAATAACGTGATAGTTGCAATA